GTACTGTTTGGCTGTGTTGTGTTGTCCTGTATGGCTGTGTTGTATGGCTGTGTTGTGTGGCTGTACTGTATGGCTGTGTTGTGTGGTTGTGTTGTGTTGTCCTGTATGGCTGTATTGTATGGCTGTGTTGTATGGCTGTGTTGTGTTGTACTGTATGGCTGTGTTGTGTGGCTGTGTTGTGTTGTACTGTATGGCTGTATTGTATGGCTGTGTTGTATGGCTGTGTTGTGTTGTACTGTATGGCTGTGTTGTGTGGTTGTGTTGTGTTGTCCTGTATGGCTGTATTGTATGGCTGTGTTGTATGGCTGTGTTGTGTTGTACTGTATGGCTGTGTTGTATGGCTGTGTTGTGTTGTACTGTATGGCTGTGTTGTGTGGTTGTGTTGTGTTGTCCTGTATGGCTGTATTGTATGGCTGTGTTGTATGGCTGTGTTGTGTTGTACTGTATGGCTGTGTTGTGTGGCTGTACTGTATGGCTGTGTTGTATGGTTGTACTGTATGGCTGTGTTGTGTTGTACTGTATGGCTGTGTTGTGTGGTTGTCCTGTATGGCTGTGTTGTGTTGTACTGTATGGCTGTGTTGTGTGGCTGTACTGTATGGCTGTGTTGTGTTGTACTGTATGGCTGTGTTGTATGGCTATGTTGTGTTGTACTGTATGGCTGTGTTGTGTGGTTGTACTGTATGGCTGTGTTGTGTTGTACTGTATGGCTGTGTTGTGTGGTTGTCCTGTATGGCTGTGTTGTGTGGTTGTCCTGTATGGCTGTGTTGTGTGGCTGTACTGTATGGCTGTGTTGTGTTGTACTGTATGGCTGTGTTGTGTTGTACTGTATGGCTGTGTTGTGTGGTTGTCCTGTATGGCTGTGTTGTGTTGTACTGTATGGCTGTGTTGTGTTGTCCTGTATGGCTGTGTTGTGTGGTTGTCCTGTATGGCTGTGTTGTGTGGTTGTCCTGTATGGCTGTGTTGTGTGGTTGTCCTGTATGGCTGTGTTGTGTGGTTGTCCTGTATGGCTGTGTTGTGTGGTTGTCCTGTATGGCTGTGTTGTGTGGTTGTCCTGTATGGCTGTGTTGTGTGGTTGTTCTGTATGGCTGTGTTGTGTGGTTGTCCTGTATGGCTGTGTTGTGTGGTTGTCCTGTATGGCTGTGTTGTGTGGTTGTCCTGTATGGCTGTGTTGTGTGGCTGTACTGTATGGCTGTGTTGTGTGGCTGTACTGTATGGCTGTGTTGTGTTGTACTGTATGGCTGTGTTGTGTGGTTGTACTGTATGGCTGTGTTGTGTTGTACTGTATGGCTGTGTTGTGTGGTTGTACTGTATGGCTGTGTTGTGTGGTTGTACTGTATGGCTGTGTTGTGTGGCTGTACTGTATGGCTGTGTTGTGTTGTACTGTATGGCTGTGTTGTGTTGTCCTGTATGGCTGTGTTGTGTGGCTGTACTGTATGGCTGTGTTGTGTGGCTGTACTGTATGGCTGTGTTGTGTGGTTGTGTTGTGTTGTCCTGTATGGCTGTATTGTATGGCTGTGTTGTATGGCTGTGTTGTGTTGTACTGTATGGCTGTGTTGTGTGGCTGTACTGTATGGCTGTGTTGTATGGTTGTACTGTATGGCTATGTTGTGTTGTACTGTATGGCTGTGTTGTGTGGTTGTACTGTATGGCTGTGTTGTGTTGTACTGTATGGGTGTGTTTTGTGGTTGTACTGTATGGCTGTGTTGTGTGGTTGTCCAGTATGGCTATGTTGTGTTGTACTGTATGGTTGTGTTGTGTTGTCCTGTATGGCTGTGTTGTGTGGCTGTACTGTATGGCTGTGTTGTGTGGTTGTGTTGTGTTGTACTGTATGGCTATGTTGTGTTGTCCTGTATGGCTGTGTTGTGTGGCTGTACTGTATGTCTGTGTTGTATGGTTGTCCAGTATGGCTGTGTTGTGTTGTACTGTATGGTTGTGTTGTGTTGTACTGTATGGCTGTGTTGTGTGGCTGTACTGTATGGCTGTGTTGTGTGGTTTTTCTGTATGACAGTGTTGTGTGATTGTGCTGTATGGCTGTGTTGTGTGATTGTGCTGTATGACTGTGTTGTATGGTTGTACTGTATGGCTTCGTTGTGTGGTTGTACTGCATGGCTGTGTTGTGTGGTTGTACTGTATGGCCGTGTTGTATGGTTGTACTGTATAGCTGTGTTGTGTGGTTGTACTGTATGGCCGTGTTGTATGGTTGTACTGTATGGCTGTGTTGTGTTGTACTGTATGGCTGTGTTGTGTTGTACTGTATGGCTGTGTTGTGTTGTACTGTATGGCTGTGTTGTGTTGTACTGTATGGCTGTGTTGTGTGGTTGTTCTGTATGGCTGTGTACTGTGGTTGCACTGTATGGCCGTGTTGTTGGAGGTTATAGTCTGTTGTTGAATTGTGTTCACCTCACGGACTAATTTTCAAACATGTTGATGTAATCAGTTTTATTGATCTCAGAGCTAGACAGGCCCAGGATTCCAAGACTGTATTGGGGACGACCCGAACTGATAACCAACGATTTCAACGACACTCATGGTCGTCAAGCGACGCTCAGAGGTTTCTTCGACAAAACAAATATTACACAAGGTCTTGACCTGCAACGTATTCCAGTCGCGTTAAACGGTCACGATCAAAGTTATTTCTTTCTTTTCGAAACAGAACTTGTATGCTCGACAAGAATTTTAGCGGCACTTTATGATATTTCTGACCTCACACCTTGCTTCCTAGCCTTGCTCCTTGTCTATACTAAATCATAAGTCCATGGATGTATAGTAATTCTATCCTTATAATAGGACAGAAAACCCCGAACCATTCGACATGCTATAGTTCTTACATTGGGTTAAATTATATATGTACGTTAATTAAGGTAATAAGCAATTACTGTTTTCATTTAATTACGACAAAGTAACGGTAATCAAGTAAATACTTAAGTATTTAAGTATGTTTTATACACACATGTTGTATTACAGTGGCGAACGTGTTATGTAATCTTATTTTTGATCGTACACTCTTCACAAACGCTTTGTGGGCATACGGCCCCTGGATCCTTGAGGTGAATGTTCCGTGCTTCGAGAGTCACAAGGGGCGATGCTTATGGCTGGAGGTTTTACGTGATTTGATAGTATCTTTGAATTGTTTATTGTTTTTGAAAATAAATAATAGTTATGTTTTAAATTTTGACATTTTTAGCATATCGTTATGTTTAAAACCATATACTTGCATTGGGTTTTGTTTGTTTGTGACATTCTCTAACTCCTTTACCTGTTGGATAGATACCGACAGCAAGATGGTTCACACCCATTTTACAAACTCTCGCATATCGTGTTAGGACGCGATAAACTTTATAATACTATTTCAGTATTTCATTGTCAGGATAATGACAGCCATAAGCTTATAAGTTCGGTAAATGAATAACTATCAAGATCAAATGACATCCGGGATAGGATTGGTCTTCAGCAACCAACGCTTGTCGTAAGAGCCGACTAACGGGGTCGGGTGGTCAGGCTCGCTGACTTCGTTGATGCATGTCGTCGATCCCAATTCCGTGGATCGATGCTCATGATGTCAATCACTGGAATGTCTGGTCCAGACTCGATTATTTACAGACCGTCGTCATATATATATCTGGAATATTGCTGTGTGCGGCGTTAAACAACAAACCAACCAACCAACAAACACGGGTAACACCACAAGTACATATAATACAATACAATGTTGCACTGCGACCGACCGCGCGCGTGTGTGTGGTGTAGTTCTATGAGTGTTTGTAGTCTGTGTGTGTGGTGCGCGCGCGTGTGTGTGGTGCGTGCGCGTGTGTGTGGTGTAGTTCTGTGAGTGTTTGTAGTCTGTGTGTGTGGTGCGTGCGCGTGTGTGTGGTGCGTGCGCGTGGTGCGTGCGCGTGTGTGTGGTGTGCGCGCACGCGAGAGCACTCCCAGAGAACAGTTTGAACAAGCTTCGGGGTTGGGGATATTCTGCCTGGAATCCCAACGGGGTCTCCACCGCATGAATGCTGAAATCATGTACATGTGTGTTATAAGTTTCAGAAGTGTATTTATTTATCATAACAAAACATGACTTTTTAAAAACATATTTTATTCATATGGTAAAACATTATTCTTACATTTGAGATCAGGTTCTTCGAGAAAATTAATTCATATAAGAATGAATAATTTACTTATCAATCAACACCTGCTGTATTGCGGAGTGGCCGAATATTTTGCGGAATTGCACTCTTCATACAGAATTGTACCCATCTTGCAGAAAATCACTCTTTGTGCAGAATATTGCATTTTCAAATTTACAATGTAAATCATAATGTGATCTTCAATATTTAAAAGTCGCCGTTCTAACATGTGAATTAATTGTCTTTGTATTTCTGTAGCTTCAAATAATTAATTTAACATTTTGAAAGTGTTCAAATCAATATTCCGGTTTTGTCTCCAAGTGTATCCAACCTTTGTATTCTGATGACAGGAAGCACATGTTTTACGGTTTCATGCTGCGACTGTCAGTTAACAAATCAGTGGATAAATATGTCCAAAAATGGCTTTAAAATAGCTCAAGAGAATGCAGAACCTTGTACAGAATTCATGAAAATTGGTTGCAGAATTTATCAAACGTAACTGCGGAATATTGATTTTTTTTGGCCGCGGAAATCAGCAGGGATTGATTAATTTTTCCATCGGCTTCGGTGGTGCGAATATAGGAAACCTTTTGTCCAATAGTGAGTGAGTGAGTTGGGTTTAACGCCGCTTTTAACATTATTCCAGTTATATCACGGCGTGTCAGCTTAATGTGGGAGGAAAGCCCCAAGTGATGCAGGTCTCAGACGTTTACCACTTCGGTGAAACCCACGAGCACGGGCATGGTGCTGACAAACCTAGAAACATAATTGGGGCGAACCGGGATTCGAACCCACAATCATAGGTTTCTGGCGTGCCCAAGGGACGCAACTCTGCACAGCGAATCGCGGCGCCTTAGACGACTGGGCCAGCCGTGCCCCCATTTTGTCCAATAAGATATGATACATCCCTCTCTGAGCAACATTTTATTATGTGATATTATCTACACCACTTTCTGTGCAGCTGTGTAAAGTATCTTATCAATATTTCATTACTAGACACAGGTGCACCAGTAGTCTAAAGCGCCGCCATTCGCTGTGAAGAGCTGCGTCCATTCGACGCACCAGAAACCTACGATAGTGGGCCCTGATTATGTTTCTAGGTTTATCGGCAACATGGCTGTGCTCGAAGGTTTTACCGGAGTGGTAAACGTCCAAAACCCGCTTCAGTCGTACTTTCCTCCCACATTAGGCTGACGCGCCGTGATATAACAGAAATACTGTTCAAAGTGGCGTTAAACCCAACTCACTCACTCACTGACTACAACTATTGTACGTCCCAGTCTGTCCAACAGTGTGAACTATACGACTAATCCCAATCCCAAGCCAAGTGTGTAACTTGAGACTTAAGAGCAAACATTGCCGGCCAGAATGTTAAATGCATTGTATTTGAAACCCAAAGTCGTAAATAGAATTAACCTATATATTGCACTAAAGCTAGTGGGTCAGAACGCTTTCACCACAATCACAATAGAGATGCATGGCTTCACACACTGTTTGCTACAGCAGCGATTATCCAGTGTATGATGTCGTCATTCTCTCAGGATAAATACCATTGGCACATTCGCAACAGATTCCATTGGGTGTAAAAGAACCGTGGAAATTATATGAATGGATAAGTGAAAATCAGTGATGTCACGCGGCTAAAAATAGTCCAATCAGGTTATACTGGTGAGCAAGAGAAAGTATGTGCTACGTTCGTGCTAAGATGGTGACGTCAGCTCCGAAACTGGTCTTGAACAGGTCCAGCAGAATGGCGATATAACGACAGAGGATAATCGAGGTAGTTTTTTTGGAATGCAAATTGATATCTAGTCCTTGGCATCTAGCTCGGCCATTGGCCATTCACCATTCATTTTGGCCTTGGAGCTCCTTCAGATAGTTCAGCAGCAATTGGACTTTGGCTGTCGTGACACCTAAGCCATAATGGGTGCCGTCGAAACTGATGGTGGAACTCGTCATGTTGAAAGTATCAAACACTGGAATACCGAGAGGCTTTAAGAGTTTGTGCATCCTATAGTTTGCCATTTTCATATGTTTTAACCCTTGAAGTTCATAAACTGGCGATTTGAGAAGACCAGGCGCGTGGCCGTTAGCCCACATCAACTTCGGCCATTTGAAGGAGCCATTTTTCACAATATTTATGGCTGGCTGGAGATATTCCATAAACTTGGTCACGTTGTTGTCTTCGCGGGCGGCCAGGGAAACCATCACAAACGTTTTCTTTCGACGATCAAGTGCTTTGACTTTTTTATATAGGTCCACCCCATCCGCAGCTCGTGTGTGGCTGACATACTTCAGATTGAACTTGCCTTTGCACAGAGGTTTAGCTCTTAGTTCGAGAAGTGGTCTGCATTCCTTGGATCCGAACTGGTAAGGGCCAGAGCATTTCGCTAGGGTGTCTGTAACGTGAAAGCAAACATGTAGGTTTAGAAAGTTACAGCAATCGTTGTTTCAATGTACAAACACACACAAACACGCACGCACGCACGCACGCACGCACGCACGCACATACACACACCAAATAGATATCTATGACATGAATTGAATTCATTGAAAGAATTGACAGAAGCCGGGCTTCCCGAGACTCGACTACAACAAATAACCAGTTGTTCCAGACCGGAGAACGCAACACTTTATTACCATCATGCCATGGTCTAGTTTTGTTAATTGATCATGTGTCTTCACTTGGGCTGGGACCAGGAACTGGAGTACTCGGGGGTCGGATGGTTCCGGATCCGGATACCTGATCCGGATACTATCGGAACCTGTGGTTAGTCACGTGATATATTGTTTAATGGCAAAAATTGTTCGCATCTCTTTCTGACTTTATAAATTTGAATGGAGATGAAACTTCAGTCAACTTCAGTGTATGCATGACCAGATCATTTCATACGAGTATCTAAAGACATTTTGCCAGGGCTACGGTCAAACTATTCCCAATTGGACATTTGTACCTATCTCTTGAGACCTACAACGGGTACCCGGGTAGGGTCGGGTAATAGTGGGGTGGGTATCCGGGTAGTAAATGTGGACTCGTCCCAGCCCTAATTCTCACTGAAAAAGATTTAAGGGGTCTTGAGTTTCCTTTCCGCAAGTTGTTGGCTCAAGTACTCAATCGGACATCTTATATCGCATTTTTATTTTTAAATTTAGCTTATATTTGTTTTGTAAGGGACCAATCATTTCATATGTTATGGGAGGGGGGTTTGGTGTCAGCGGGAATCAGGGGCGGGTCACCAAAAACATGACCGTCTCTAGTGGTGGGTCATAAAAAATACACATATTTGGGGAGGGTCATGTAGAAATGGACTTTGTAAATAAGATTTAAAGTGCTTTTGCATTTTATATTTTCAGGGTAGTCAGGAATAATATGTACAAGAACATGGGGAGGGTCATCTAAAAATATGACTAGCATTAGGAGGGGGTAGGTATTTTCACTACATTAGTGCATCAATAGGCTCTGACCTAAACCACCCCTCTAATAATGACCGGTCCCTAATTATGACGAAAGGGAACAGCTTTTCGGAAAAGAGGATTTTGTGATTTGGTAATTCGCGGTATGGTGATGTTACGCGTTTACATTTAGTACTAGTATATTATCACCTGTAAATTGACTGACTAATTTGACGTCATTCAGCCTAAGCAACTGAACACATGTAGTGATTCAGGATAAATAGGACTTCGTGTTACCTACCAAAAACAGACACTGCTCGTTTCATCATAGCTATCGTTTGAGCAGAATACTCTCCAAAGAAGGTAGGGCATATTCGAAAAACCCCAGATGATTTCGGAAATACAAAGATGTATCGCGTGATGGTAATGAATGACTAAGGGAAAGGACAGACTAGGTGTAACATGACAATCAACAGAACATGTTGGCGGTGTATTATAAGAGTGAAAAATCACCCCCAAAAACCTAGGCCGCTCGGTGCCGGGCCGATCATTGACATGGTGTGTCTGCAGAAACCTGTTCCAAAGTCTGCAAATTACAGACACATGCACCTTATCCGCGTGCTCGACGACCACGTGTTGTGGCACCCCTTTCAAATCGTCATATTACCAACAGGCGTCAATGGTGTACACAACGTCGAAATTTTTTTTAGGGTTATCATCGCCGGTTACGTGTCATTCACGTGTCATGACCCCCTTTCACTTCCTTGATAGGCATGGCGTGTCTGGTGACGTCAAAATGAACGTCAAGCCAATGTCAATCTGAGGCATCATGACATATGTCGCGGTTGATCGGTTATGATGCGGGATGGCATCGCTGTAACATAACGAATCCCACTCCATATTGTGCAAGGAAGGGCCAATAGACAGTGCTATCCCATCAACATACTGATATTCTTTGTTCGTTTGAAAAGGGTGTGGATTGACGTTTTGTCAAGGATCGCCTCCAGCAGCCATAGAATATCATGGCTAGCAATGAGCCTTTAGCTTTCTCCCATTGAACACGTCTGGGACACGATTGGCAGACAGTGTACGTCAACGTCATGGTCCGCCGACCACGTTGGCTGAACTTTGCCAGGCGCTGTGAGAAAAGTGGGGCAGACTCAATGGAATCGCGTTTGGGAGACTCATCACAGTATACCTGTGGAGTGAATGAATGTTTGACAAATCGTGGCGATACTACAGATAAAAAAACGTCAACTTTGAAATTTCCCATCTCACCCCAATCGTCTTTAAGATCGTTTGCGGTCATAACATCTTCTGTCATACTTCACAACCGGTTGTAGAATGTTCCTAAGTCGTTCATTAGTATCATACAACTATTTCTAGAAACTAACATATCTCACAATTTTGGAAATTGTAAGTTTGTTTTGTGGAAAGTACCACACGTCATTTTTGTGTGTTAATAGTGACAATGAAAAGAGTGTTTGATGTGCTCAGTAAATAAATAGTGTCTTGGATACAGCTGAGAAAGAAATAGATATTTCTCATGAACCCTACCCCCTACAAATCGAATGGATTCTCCCCAACTCTACTGTAGGAAAAGTGTCAGAGATCGTGTCATCTCTTCTATATTAATAAAACTTTGAACTGGTTCACACGGCAACGCCCATACACACAAAGCCGCCTTACATCCAGTGAAGATCTTGTACCGCGTATCTACCATAAAGAACGTATGGCTGTGCATGGCGTTTCATTTTCAAACACTTGTATAGTCTATCAGTCTTGGCGATTACCAGGAAGAGTGTGCATTGCATCCCGGATAGACTATATGCCATGAAAGCTTCATATTCAAGACCTATAACACAATTCACTACTGGAGAATCTCATCCGAGTGTCTTGAGATATCAAAGATATAAATGAGTGTTGATATATTTGATATCAAAAGATATCAATATTAATTCTTAAATCGAAATACGCGAAGTAAAATCAGTGATTTATAAAAGCGATATCTACAATGTAGTTATCGACTGATCTCACCCAAGCCATATCTCCTGTGGGAACCAATTTGGGATGATAAATAGAGATTACTACACGAGTGCCTGCCAGATACCATTGATCTTACAACGAGTTGTTTCAAAACGTATCTATGAACGAGCGAAAGCGAGTTAGATACGCTTTGTACCAACGAGTTGATAAATAGAGATTACTACACGGGTGCCTGTCAGATACCATTGATCTTACAACGAGTTGTTTCAAAACGTATCTGTTAACGAACGAAAGCGAGTTAGATACGCTTTGTAACAACGAGTTCTTAAATGGTTTTCTCACCCACAGGTGTGTAAGAAATATGTTTATCTAACTCACTGTCATATTATTATTCCCCGTGAAGATCTTAGTTAGAATATTTCTTCAGTAGCCCATGCATATCTAAAATGCGACTAACGTGGTCGGTAGGTCAAGCTTGCTGACTTTGATGATGCACGTCACCGTATCCCAATCACTGGATTGTCTGGTTCAGACTCGCTTTTTTTACAGACAGCAGTCATATAACTGGCATATTTAGAAGTGCGGCCGAAGGGTGTAAAAAATCTGATTTTCGAACTTCAAACAATGAGCACATTTGGAATCTGAAATGATTTCTTTCACTATAAAGTTCTACCGCTGTATGTGCCATCAGCTTGTATCAACATGCTCGTGTTCAAAATGTTTTAAATGTGCTTCCTTTAATTCCTTTTCAGCTTTTGAGGAAACGACGTCACATAGCTGGAATATTCCCGAGTGCGGCGTTGAACACCAAATAAACAAATAATATCATTATTGTTACACAATTGCATGCCTAATTTACAGCCAATGTTAAGTGTAGAGTTGGTTGGTTTTGTATATGCGCTGAAGATTTCTTATTCTACTGATGAATTAAACCGCAACCCACCCCTGTGTAAGATCCCTATTCACAACCTGCAAAACAACGAAGTATGCGGTATATAATTTACAGGGATGTGACTCAACAACTGTAAAACATCTCATTCACTTACAGGCTTAAAGACAACTTTATCTTAAAAACAAGCCATCATCTGACTCTGAGTATTTACCATTTCTGTGTGACGCCACACCCCACGTTGTAGTGCAAGTATTCGTGATAGAAAACGTATGATGTCCGAAAACCTATGCTGCTGAAAGCTCTGATCGAAAACAGGACAATCCGCGACGATTGTCCGGTTTTCGATCATATTTTTCGGAGGTTTTTTTTAAAAATCTTTGATTATATTTTTACGCGGAAAATGATTTTTCCCGACGACTACTGTTTTAAAAAACGCGATTTTCCGCGTTTCCGAGGAGATTTCACATCCCTGCATTTAATTGACAATGGCATTCATAATTATTTACTATATACGTGAATAATATTTTTCTCTTTTTGTCTAACTTACCATTGTTACTGTGTTTAAGTCCACCACCGATCGGGTCGTTACGCATCAACATAAGCACTGCAGTATAAATGTGACGAAAATGAGAATCTCCAAACAAATACAGTGTCGAATTTGTCACAATTCGACAGGCTTCCTTCCTTGTGAAAATATGAAACGAGCACCTCTTGTCCGCCGGTACCCACGTGGCATACTCCGCATGTACACGTTGTCGTACGTCGTAGCAGTTGCTGCAGCGACACTTCTTCTCAGGTAGCGCGACACATCTACCGTTGAAACAACAAGGTCTGTTACCGGTTGGGTAGCACAAAGATCTAGCTTGACGGTTGTAGGGGAGAGTCACGTTCCCACACAGCTGATCCTTTCTTGATATTGGAGAAATTATGTTTATTTGTTGGCGAGAATGATTCAGGAACGTTTCTTGTTTTAACACTTCTTGCTTTGTCAGAACCCATTGCTTCCAGTGTCCTTTAGACATATTGTCCAAAACACTCGGGCAACGGGTTTCACTTCCGGTGCGCACTCTGGACTTCCGGTTTGGACTTGAATGCTGGATTTCAGTTTGTACTATATCTGTTCCTATAATATGAACTTTCCGCTCCCGAGTGCCCGACGGCGCTGAATAGACAGGATTCTGGTGGTACATGTCCACAATGATTTTATTCATCATTAATGTGGTGAAACTGAGAACGCTGATAATGGTTAAACCACATTTGAGTGAAACACATGAGCATTTCTTAGATGAGGGGGAATGGTGGACTTTCATCGTTGTACAACACTGTACTCACAAGCATAACTACTGTCGAAAACTGCTAACCAAATCGATCTCTTCGTTATGAAATAAGCAGCATGCACCTCACCTGTGAATAAAAAAGTGAAGGGCTAAATTAACAAGGAAATTAAATGAAATACGAGCATACCTCCCTAAACAACGGACTTCTTAATATTGCTTAGTGCGAAACTTCCACCTTTTTGCACAGATAACCCTGTGTTTAATCCTCTCAAATAAGTTTTGAATAAGGGTGGGGATTAGCTCACATCGAAGGCGAAGAATAAGTTGACTCCTAGCTAATTTGATATTCGGGAGCTGTGATTTTGGATTGAGGCCAGATATTGTTTCTGCAAGACCAGCCTTTTGTTTGATTTTAACTATGAGACAACGTTTGTTTCTTAAGAACACATTGCAACAATGTAATTTTTGTGGTAGACATTTTCTTTTCTCCCAAAAATATAAAATCGATTAAATCCCACCCTCTTGTCAATTAAACAAATACAATGTCTGACAGAAATACGTCGAGCAGTGATTCCAACTCTACCACAAGGTCCAGCGAGCAGGCACATGCTACTCGCGGCTGTACAAACAGGTGCTGTCGAAATACCACATTGACTACATGTACATAATAGTCACACGGTGACTTAATAGCGTTCTGTTTTGGCAACGTAAATATAGTTAACTGTATATTATTTGTGAATAATAAATTTGGGACTACTTCACTCTTGTACAATGTTGACTTACACATCGTTAAGGGAATCTGGACTCTTTTAAATACTGTAGTCTATGCGTGTACAACCGTCAGTTGTGCTATTATCAACATGGTAATTCATTACTTAACATTATGACATTTATAGCCGTAATCTATTTATATTGACAGTGTGATTGTGTGTATTTGTTGTTTAACGCCACACTCAGCAATATTCCAGCTATATGACGGCGGTCCGCAGATAATCGAGTCCGGACCAGACAATCCAGTGATTGATGTTGTAATATCTGGAATTGAAACACAGTAGTTTTAAACCAGCTAGTGTATAATGTTATGATAGGCCAACAGATGTCCGGTCTTGTAATGTTATTATTTGCAGGTAAGCGCAATCACGTGCTGTTATGTAACATGCGACAATCTTGAATAAACGGACGGTCAAGTTGCAGGCTCGTCTCCCTGCTCCCGCATATGTCGTTCCTCCCTGATGACCCAACAGATATCAAGAGCATCGATCCACGCAATTGGGATGATGCCCATCTTCCCGAGGCAACGGAGTAAACTGACTATAAAAGTCCAGTTTCCACCCTTGTCGAACTAGGCTGGTATTATGGGGTTACATTTTGGCTGGACTAACGAGTCTATGCATAGTCCAATCAGAATCGCGCACCGAAGTCGAAATCCGGTTCGTAAACTGTCGTGCAGATTTCGAACGACTGCAGTATTTGCAAAGCATGTGCACCGCCAACTCGTTGTCAACAGATATTATTCCAAATCTTTTCATGTTTTTAATCCAGGTGCTCATGTGATTTGATGCATTTCGCGATGTAAGTTTTATCACAATATAGATCTTGATTATCGATCAGATCGTCCTGACTGGGCGCCACCATTTTGTGTGAAGCAAACGCAAGTGATACGAGAGCTGGAATCTGATTGGTCCATAGGAGAGGCTTAGAAGGGACATAACTGGTAATAGACACTGGTGGCGCTACGATCGAGCCCAGTAATTCCAGCCTAGTTCGGCAAGGGTGGAAACTGGACTTTTAAAGTCAGTTAACTGTCTTGGCTCGGGAAGATGGATGATGACATGCATATCAACCAAGTCAGCAAGCCTGACTACCCATCCCGTAACTCGCCTCTAACGACAAGCACAGTCACCTGTTACGACATGCATTGGTTGCTGAAGACATATTCTACCCCGGATCTTCTTAGGTCAACTCCCCTCTCCATCTACACTACGGCCCGCGAAGGTCGTGGCCTTACCTGGATATGCATGAACGTGTTCGAGGACCTCATACCACAACACAAAACAGCCTTGTCGTACAAGTCACGTCAAATATGTTTGCATTTAACCTCTCCGCCCATATACATTTCACTTTGGATGTTACACCTAACTTCAGTTTTAATTCTGATACATCGTAAATTTAATCAGTTCATTTCTAAGAGAAATAGCATGTTTGGCATATGAAGATTAAACATGACAGCATTATCTTTTGAAGAGTGAAGAGAAAACAGGAGAACTTGACATGTAGTGTTCTGGTATAAACAGACCACTCCCACTGAACGACTCGATTGTACCAGTTATCTAGGTCAGACCATTAGCCCTACCCGAATATTGTGTCCCTTTGCACTGAGACCATAGAGACCATATACATCGGTGTCTTTGAAGACAAGCCGCTGTGAACTACCCCCGCTTGTTACCGGGTTACATGAGCTCAGTATAATGATTGCTAGTCGCTGAAGCGATCACGCCCGCACTAATAACCTAACACAGGCATACACTCTGTAAGATGTACTGCTGTGTAAAATCCCCACAGCGGAACATTTAAAAAAAGCGTCAACGCAGTCTTGTCTCTATCGCCTGCCGAAACAGATTCGACGGTTGGCAAAATGGCGGTGCAAATGACAGCAAACACCGCTAACAGGGAGAGGAACTCCTAATATGTCAGGCATCATATTGCTAGAATAGTGCTGGGCAAACAAACAAACAAGACATACCTCCTAAGGATCACTGACATATTTCCAGGTCATATATCATTAGGCACTCGATAAAAGTGGTGAATGTGTATTACTAGCTGACACTTCTCCAGTGAGAAATCGATACATGTACCCAACTTTATAATGTAATCGATACCCGTATATTGACAGAAGATAATACCTGAAACTCACTGATTGTACTTAACACATGAAAATTGGCAAAGTTAGTTTAAACACATTTTATTCAACTTAACTTGAAAGGGGTTTGTAAACAAGCCAAACTGGCTTGTGTAAAATACCGCTCCCTGTTACATAATTACATTTATGTTGACATCAAAACTCGCCTCGGGGCAGATCTTGGTGGTAGTTGCAATTAATCAAACGTTGAAAGTCGACATGTAGCCTCACATTAAACAATCTCCCTAAATAGCGAGAACTAAGATCTGATTTTAATGAGATTGCACATATAAATTAATAAATACCGTAGGTAACTGGCGAAGAACAATGATGGGTACTTCTTATCGGTGTTTCATAACTGAGGAAGCCCTTCTCTGATTTTGTTCCCCTGATTTGTCTGCTAGTAACATATGAGGCCATGAACTCGTCAGGGATATAACCATCTCGCCTCACTGGGTGGACGCTAAATACCAATCTTCAGTTGATGGTGGTTCGTCCATTGTTCAAAAGCCATAGCTCGCTTACCTGAAGCCGCGTCATGAAGTCACATCGCGGGACTAGATTGGACAACAAGCAACAGATTTGTTCTTGTAAAAAGAACTCAGATGAATTTATTATACATTTTATCGTGTTAGAATAAACCTCGTCAATAAATCAACAGCCTACCTTAAATGTAGTTACTATCCGTTGTAAAAGTTTACAAATACAGCCGAGTTGCAGGACCGGTCGTGGCCTCGGAGGAAGGTAACACCCTATGAGGCGTTGGCGAGAACCGACACAGTTCGGGAACGTCAGTCAACAATCGGCGTTGATTGAGGATAAATCTGAATGTTCGGTGTTCGTTTTAAATCCTTCAAGGTTATAATCAGGTTTTGTTCAATGACCGCTACCGTCCAGGGTGCCCCCCCATTGATATAACAACAGCAAGCAGTTGACTGGAGGACAATGAGGAGATTATGGAATTGTTATAGTCAGTTTCAGGGGTATCGCCTATTGCCTACAATGCACTTTTCACTTTTTATCAAAACAACTCCACGGTTCAGGGCACGCAATAGCAAAACTTTTATCCCTATTTCGTAATAAACCTTATCAATGCACTGCTATTGTCAACAAACAAAGAATAAGTGTGTACTTGTTGCTTGTTGTATATACATTAATTTAAAAAACTTCTCACACTGTAAAATCCTTATAATTGACATTTGGTCAGATGATACGATTTGACACATTACGACGTGAGAGGTGTCAGGTATAGATTGAACAACAGACGTCTTACATGCTTACATACATCCACTTGAAGTGTGTTACTGCTGTCCTGTATTTCATATTTTCATTGTAAGGATTTTATAAATTATATATATAAAATATTTCAAAATGAAAGAAATTGACATGATTTTTATAAAAATATGTTTATATCAAATCAGAGACGCTGCGAGTGCTAACAGTAATCACTAAGAGAGGCTATCGGCAGACAAAAGCAGAACTTGCAAAGAAAATGGAAGAAATGGAAAATGTGCAATTTATATAAAGTGGAGGGATTGGCAAACAAGCAAATTTTGCTTATCCTTAGCAAAATGCCTCTCCCAAACATGATACATATACAAATTACAATGTATTGAAAGTGACATAAGAAATAGCATACATTGTATAATTGACATTAAAGATAATTATTGTTAGGTAAGTGTTTTATTACTCGAGTATCTGTCGTAACTACAGCTACGAAAAGAAAAGACTCTAATTCAGCAAGAAGTTAGAATAAATGGACACCTTCTGCAGTTGAGATGTTTTAAAATTGTACACTAATTTCAAAATTTCAAGGCTTGTTACAGTCGTTAAATGTGAATTACCATTTAAAACTGAATATTTAAATCATAGCTTTTTACAAAATAATACATATTTTGCCTTAATGTACTGTTTAAGGGACAAGTAAGAAAGAAATGAAGTGCAACCCACGGGTTTTCGGATATAAATCTGGAACATTTGTCGGCGTTAAGATCAATGCAGCCAAGTCTGAGACAGGAGTGTGTAACCTGACAAAAATCTTGATCCATAATATACATCAAAGTATATACCATTCGATCATTTATTTTATAAATGTTTAAAACTTCCTAAACTACTGGCTTTAGTGGAAAACCTATGGGTGACCATACATAGTCTGAAACAAGCCCACTCAAATGCGGCAAAACCTTGTGTTTTATAACACCCCAGAGGGACAAGATGAGAACTCAAATTACACTATAGTGACATTCTGTAAAAAGCATCTAAAACTAAATGAAGATCGTGAGATCACTATGGACAGAGATCACATGTCCCTTTAAAACTGAGTAAGTGTGGTTTTACGCCGCTTTTAGCAATATTCTAGCAATATCACGGCGGGGGACACGAGGGCCCTGCACAAAGCGATCTTAGCGCTACGACTACCGTAAGCCTATGTTAAAGTATGGGAGTTACGATAATCTTAGCGCTAAGATCTCTTTGTGCAAGTGGGTCCAGGAATGGGCTTCACACATTCTATCCATGTGGTGAATCAAACCCGGGTCTTCGGTGTGACGAGCGAACGCTTTTACCTCTACCCGACCGCTAAAAGTATTACGAATAAATGATTATTGTCAATTGAATCTATCTTTATGAAGACCGATTTGATGTATATATGGTATTCACATTGTTTTGATTCTGTCCATTCACTAAAATGCATTGTGTGAAATAGATTACAAGATCAGTGTATTTACAAATATGGTCATTTGAAATGTTTGAATCATCAAAAGCCGTAACGTATAGATTATTTAGGTCCGAACTTGAAGCTGAACAATATTTTACTAAATTATGCAAAAAAGAATGGTTCTCACTAACTCAAAGGCTTCCAGTTATTTGGGTTTTCTTAAAAGTAAATGGACACTTCGCATCCGTATGGAATAACTGGTATAACTATACTGTCACAAAGCCTCAATTGACATTTAAGTGTTAAATCTAATTTCCATCCTTGGCATAAAACATATAGCGTATCTTTCGTTGCTTAAAATTTGTTCTATTATCTTTTTATAGGGGAATAGCTTTGTCATAGTGAATTTTGAATTTATTAGAAAGAAAACACCAAAGGAAGTTATAGGAATCACCTGTTCCAAAACAAAAGGACCAATCTTGAAATTATGTTTATAATCGTTTTTTATCAACAAAAAATACTATTTTAGTTTTGGTCATATTAATCTTAAGCCTCCATTGAATACTATAGTTATGAAATGATTTTAAAATATGTTTCATATCATAAGCATTTGTGGCTTATAACACTGCATCATCTGCATACAATAATACAAATATTATGATCATATTTCGATTCGAAACTGGACGCCTGTATTTGAATCCTGTAAAGTGCCGCTTCGAGATAATATTTTTTATTGCTTCTCTTACTCAACATTTAATAATTAAATTTTCGTTGTGTTCATGGAAATTCCTGCATTCTGATTAGCTGAATTGGTCACGTGTTATTGCATTCATTTCCCAATGAATGTAAAAAATTAAGCCACGCCAACCGCGGCGCACTACTTTTATAACTGCGGAATGTCGGGGAATCCCAATATTACATGTCGAGGGAATTCCCTTTCTGCTCACGTGTATCGTCATGCACAGGACATTTACCGACTTTCATGCCTATTCATTGTCCAAACTACCCTTTGAAACCTAAGGCCGAGAATGAATGAAACATCAAACGTGCTGACAGGTCCATTGAACATTGTTTTAATCCCACTCTCCGTTGATTGGCTACTGACTGTGTAGTCGTGTCAAATTATGTGCATAAATTAAACGATCACCTGACTCATGTCAAGCCACTGTTAGTATTCCTACACCTGGAATGTTTATCAATGTCGTCATTTTTGGCTGTTTTGATATATGCAACTGTTTTGGGTTAAACTATTGTAGATAAAACATGTTTTACGTCGTCGAATTTAATTATAAGCATTGACTGTGTATTTTTTTCGGTTCATTGAGGTATGAATCGAAAGACCGATGTGCAAACTGTATGAATCCGCTACTACAATCCTTAACATGAAAACGAACTTGAACATTACCATAACAGGAACGCTTGATTTGATATCCTGGTACACAAAAATAACGATAAAACATGTTCCAAATATGTTATTTTGTAACAGTTTTTGCCAAAGTCCTAAGACCCCTATCGCCAAACTGCATCAAATACTTTCTGAAAATCTACAAACGCACAAAATCATTTCTTTTTCCTAGCTTTTATTAATTCCGAGAGGATATATAAAGCAAAAATGTGATCATCAGTAGAATGTACCTTTCTGAAACCTGCATGAGCTTCCGACATTAAAACCTCTATTAAGTATTAATGTTAACACAGAATTTACGACGAATCTTACACCTTTTAACAAATCCGAACACTTTACCGGCGGGATGAAGAAGCACATCACTTATTTTGTCATATACTTTTGTAATTACATTAATGGGGTTACAATAATCAGCACAAAGTAGCTCAAATTAACTTAATTGTAGAACCTCTTTGTCAATAGAGTCGACAGTTTAATAAGACGGGTGCTTGTGTCATTCTTTGGGCTTAAAGCTTGGGGTGAAAGAGGCTTATCGATGTTTTTTGTTAGTGTTACAGTAATAGGCGAGGGGATGTCTGAGAACAATGCCTCAAATTCAAGGTTAAGAAAACATTAGCGGTCAACCAAGCTTACTCCTTCACGTGTAGCTTTGCAAACTCCTTTGTCATGACCAACTCGGCCATTTTTTGTTTTCCCTCTTCTACTCGCTTATAGTGTTTTCTTTAATCTGTAAATGTTTTACACATTTTAACGACTTCAGTGCGTCATACGTCATACTGGCCAGGCATTGTACGCATCTACCCGAACTTCGTAACAATTTCTATGTTGTACAATGCGTCACACTTTAATAAAAAATATTATTTGTATATATTTTTGATTTTGCATAAATCAACCAACTATGTGAGGTTGGGTTACCCAAATCCTGACTTGACCTTTCTAACAATATATTAGCATATTTTAGTCTTTCAGCATCATTAATATTATCCACCAAATTGTTAGGGAGTATCGTTATCTACGTTGATAGAGCTTGAGTTTAAGCATGGACCTAAGTCCGTGGTTTAAGTAAGGATAAGAATTTATGGATGAACAACTTCTTTATTACAATTAAGAGCGACGTTTCGGTTTGGCTTCTTACACCGTTATCAAGCACTTCTTTATTACAATTAAGAGCGACGTTTGGTTTAAACATATTTTTATTCATTGAAATGAGTTGGGATTGGTGAACAAGCTTTACAGCTTATGTTAACACCGCTCACATACAACATATATTACATATTGAAATGAAGGATGTGACGTCATCGATATAGACATTATTTAAATAATATGTTTGTACATATTACAACAAATACAAATACAAAGTGAACATAAATAGAAAGTTACAGCTTGTGTGTGTCTAACAAGTCGTTTGTAACAAAAGTAATAGTCAATCATGAGGTTATTGTCCGGTTAATTTAATTATTAATTTGTGAAGAGCTGAAACGTTTTGTCTTGATGAAGAAATCGTGGACGGATTCAACTAATTTCTTGTTTTCAGAGTGAGCAAGTTCATTGTTTCCGTTCATAATAGTATCCAGGTTATAACCGGTAGTATAAAAGTGCATATTAAGTCTTATCTGAGTAAAGTTACAGCAAGTAAAAAAATAATGGAGGGCGTTTTCACTCTGATATCCACAGGAGCAACACGGACTGTCAATTAAATGTCTGTTATAATACTTATCGGCGTCTAGGTCGCTACAACCGAGTCTGAGGCGGCAGTGAACGATTTGACAGAATCGAGTGCCATAGCTAAGGTCAAAATAAGTCTTATTTTCAGTTTTCGTAATTAGGTTTTTAAATTCTGACAGGCTACTTGGCTCTTTGGACTTTGGTAGAGCATTCCATAAGTGTATTGTGTCTGGTAAAAAGGATTTGGCGTAAGAAGAAGTACGGCTATAAATTCCTTGTATTTCAGAACTGTTTCTTCAATTATAGTTTGTAGTTCCGGAGACAAAGTTTGGGATCAAATCACAAAGATAGCTTGGGAATTGGTTGTTATACATTTTAAAGAAAAAAGTTAATTTTTGGCAGTATCTTCTATCTTGCAAGGATTGAGATTTAGTTTCATTATAAAGTTTCTTATGACTTGTGCCAGGAACACAAAGTGATATATGCTTCAAACGTTTATTGACATCTTCTGCTCGTGACACCTTTCGTTCCGTCTTATGACGCCTTTTCATTGTTCCCCTTTGATTCTCCGAACGATGGCTGCATCGTCGACGTCCACGTGTTGAACACGTTTTTTCCTATTTCATGGTACTTCTGTCCTGTATACATTTTATTTATTTTTTAAATGTTTTTTATTCAATTCAGTATATGAATACATATGTATACATATACATTTTTCATTTGCTTGTCTTTCTAGTTTTGGACGTACACTAGTAGCAAATATTTCCTGAGACAGAGAGATGATCTTTGTACCCATTTCATCCCCTCACAGTTTCTTCCGCTGAAAATGGTTTAAATAGATGCATTTACCATTATTTTTTATAATCCGTCATCCTTACCTTCACCTACAAAAAAAACAAAACAGTTATCGCAATGATATAAGAATTACTTCAAAAAGGACATGGATCAATTATAAATGCGTCATAATAGAGGCCAGGTACTTTTACCAGTTGCTTACCTGATAATTGAATGTCCTGTAAAATAAAATGTGTCTGTGCGTGTGTGTACACTGATAATTGTTTCATAGGCGTTACTTAGAAGTTAACGGATGACAAGGTAGACACAATTTTATGAATAACAACTTCTTTAATACCGTAAAAAGCGACGTTTCCTTATACTATTGTCAGAGCCGTCGCTTTTTACAGTATTAAAGAAGTTGTTATCCATAAATTGTGTCTACTTTGTCACTGATAATTGGATAGCAAATAATACTAATGCGTGTGTGTGCATGTTAGACGAACATCTAGTCTCTTAAATGAGCATAGTTTACAGAAAGAAAAGTTGTTAAATTATAGGAGCCAAGAGACTTTCTTCATTTTCTGAAGATACTGCAGTAATCTAGACTTACCACGTATTATAGACTTGCATGGGCTTTATATTGGATATATTTGTTTCAGTGTGGTATGCTTTGTGTGTGTGTTGCCACCTAACAATAATTGGTATGCTGTGTGTTAGAATTTGAATTAATAGAGATTATTTAAAAAACCCATTTACACTGACATCACACCAGTCTTATAGAGGACAAAAGCCATGTCACTTTTCCAGATTTTTTACTAAAAAAAACACCCCAAGATGATATTTCACACACTACACAAACAGATAACAAGGTTGTATATCAACATGATATATGATTGTTCAGAAAATAAAAAGCCATTTCTAATATTCTCAACTATTATATGACATACCTATCAACCAGATGTAGCTTCAAAAGAATATTCTGGTGATTATATAACGTTGTACAATCTGAAAAATCCGCACCAGCAAAACAGGTAAACATTGAAGCTCAATGATAATATTTCATGTGGAAAAACAATCGTGAATTATTACATTTATTACCTTGCATTATGATAACACAACAAAAAATCCAATATGGTAGTAGCTTAAAATGAGATTCATCAGATCAAATACGGTATTTCCTTGAGTATAGTGCACACTTTGTTTTCAGAAAATGAAACCGTGCAGAAGTGGGTGCGCATCAAACACGCCACCATAAGATTTCAGGTATTTTCCCCTCCATGGGTATACAAAACATCCAGCATGTACGACGGGATTCGAGTGTCAACGGGATTCGAGTGTCAACAAACAGAATAAACTACCGATACATGCATCTGTACTATTTTTATATTTATATGAACATTGAATACTATTATGTGAATTATTACATGTGTATATTTACTTATATTTACTTATATCGGGGGGGGGGGGGGGGGGGGGGGGGGGCACGGGTGGCCCAGTCGTCTAAGGCGCCGCGATTCGCTGTGCAGAGTTGCGTCCCTTGGGCACGCCAGAAACCTATGATTGTGGGTTCGAATCCCGGTTCGCCCCAATTATGTTTCTAGGTTTGTCAGCACCATACTCGTGCTCGTGGGTTTCACCGAAGTGGTAAACGTCTGAGACCTGCATCACTTCGGGCTTTCCTCCCACATTAAGCTGACATGCCGTGATATAACTGGAATACTGTTAAAAGCGGCGTTAAACCCAACTCACTCACTCACTCACTACTTATATCGTTTTAACATAGGCTATAAAGTCATTCAAACATGTCATTTTATGTGAAATCCTGTGTGAGGCAATCCCACTGGCTCATCGTTATCTACAGCTACACCAACTTGACTAATGCCATCTGCGACTTGTTGTTGATGAAGAACGAATAAATATATATCATATCAAATATGTCGACCCATAAGAAGTTGAAATTGTTGTTATTTGTTCTGTTATGGTCAATGTTTTGATTTTTTTCATTGTGGTAGCATGGCTTCAGCACATGACTCAATCCAAGTCACTGATTGGTCTGACCGGTGGCTAGTGAAAAAATAATAAAAAAAATATGATGCTGTGCATATACTACCAAGAACCAGTCTTTGGAAATATAGTTCAATTTCCGCTTGAATAGCATAGGTATAAAGGTTAAATACTTGATAACATGTAACTGGAACAATATTACAGGTAACTGTTACTAGCTGTTTATAACAGTTAATAACAGTTAATAACAACATATGCACAATCATGCAGTCTTAACAATAACAAACAGTATTAACATTATACATTACAAGCAATAGTAACATTAACATACACATTGTGGTTCAACATATACTGTTAAACTTGTAAACTTATATGACCTTGGGAAGGAGTCCTCTGAAACAGGCATGTTTGGAACAAAAGATATGTATTAATCTCCCCCCCCTTAAAAAACCCAAACCCAAACCAAACAACATATGCCATAAACATGAACATATAAAAACAATGGGTTCTCTTTAAAAGTTCAGACAAACTGCAGACAGACCTTTTTGTGTCTTAAAATACCGGTTGAACAAGTTCAAAATCATAAAAGTTCAAATAGCTTCCCAATAGCTTTGAAAAAGAACCCCATTACCGGGTAATATTGCTATTTGAAACTGAAAGTATGTTAAAGGTAGAGTATACCTTATCATCTTGTACTTGGATGACTTTAATCCCAGGTTGTCCTCACAGACCGGTCTGGCAAACTCCTACTATAAAAATTATCACTATTTAAACCGGGATGTGTCCAACACATTAAATTCTCAGTAGTTTCAAATTCCATTTATAGTTCCAAGATTTAAAAATATGTTAAAAGTTACTCTGATAACTTGAACATAATGCTTAAACACATCCTTGCACAAGTTAAAATTTGGGTCAAGTATAAAGGTCTAAGCACAATACAACATGAAACATGAAACACAGGCCACGGTTGACTGGCCTGAGTAAAGGTGGCGACGATTAGGGGTCTTGACATGTTCTTTGATTGTTTGTTTGTTGTATAAAGCTGCACTCAGCAATATTATATGACAGGGTTCTGTAAATAATCAAATCTGGACTAGACAATCTAGTGATTGACATCATGAGCATCGCAATGCAATTGGGTTACGATGACATGCAGAACCAAGTCAGTGAACCTGACCAGCTGATCCTGTTAGTCGCCTTTTACGACAAACCTAGAAACATAATCAGGGCGAATCTGGGATTCCAACAATCAATCTTAGGGTTCTGTCACGCCTAAGTAACTGAACACTTCACCCATTCCCCTTTTGTCCATCTTCCCGGGACAAGGGAGTTAACTGACTTTAAAAGTCCAGTATCCACCCTTGCCAAACTAGGCTGGAATTCCTAGGCTCGATAGTAGCACCACCAGTGACTATTATGAGTTATGTCCCTTCTATGCCTCTCCTATGGACCAATCAGATTCCACCTCTCATATCACTTGCATTTGCTTCAAACAAAATGGTGGCACTCGGTCAAGAAGATCTGATGGATAATCAAAATCTATATTGTGATAAAACGGGTCTTACATCGCAAGGCGCATCAAATCACGTGAGCACCTGGATTAAAAACATATAAAGATTGGGAAAATATCTGTTGACAATGAGTTGGCAGTGCACTTGCTTTACAAATCCTGCAATCAACCGAAATCTGCATGACAGTTTACGAACCGGATTTCGATTTCATTGCGCTATTGTGATTGGACTATGCATAGACTTGTTAGTCCAGCCAATATGTAACTCCATAATACCAGCCTAGTTCGGCAAGGGTGGAAACTGAACATTTATAGTCAGATAACTCACTTGCCTCAGGAAGATGCCCTTTGTCACGTTTATCAATATTGCAACAGGCATACCAAAAATGGTACAGTAGAATCGAACCTCAGTCATCTGATGGGCAAACACCTGAACCACTAGGCTACCTGACAGTCCCTCAGAAGTCTATCATGTCATTTGTTTACTATTTTGAGGAGTAAAAAATATTGTAGCTTCATATAAGTGACATACGCCTTTGGTCAAAGGGAGGTAATAAATAATCATTCCTAACTGGATAAATAAATGTCATTATCAATTGGCACATCCCGAATCTAACCTATTACCAGTATCATGAAAATTTTCAAACAACTGATTTACTGGCAAAACTAAGCATAAAGGATACAAGTGTTAGCTGTACAAATTATCACAGGGGTAAAAAAACATGTAACATCATCACAATGATATAAAGCAAGATAGAGGCAAAATGTGACACATAACCTATCTTCAACACTAACTCATAAAGATCATGCAATACTTAGGTGCTTTCACATGTGAATAATAGTAGAATAATAAAAGAAACTTCCAAATTAGTCACTGATGGAAGTGAAAACAAACAACCCTTTGACTTTTCATAATATCCCAAACCTTCACTAAAAGTGAAAACAACAACACATTTTCTAGGCAAATTATAGATTTTCTTTGTGTCCTGACACAACAGTGATGTAAAACAAGTGATTATATGACAGTAGCCTCTGAGGATTCTATACTGAAGCTGCACCATGACATTCTTCACAACAATATTGAAATGTGGAACATGTATTGTCAGAACCTGACCTACCCACAGCATGAGAACAAAGAAACACGGTAAAGTACATTTCATGTAGTTTTCTCCACTTAAGTATTATTATTGCCAGTATCGCCAGTAAATATTGCACTTTGGAACCACATAGGTTAACAATTAACAAGTGTCTTATGTCTTGTGTTTTTTCTGAGTGATATAAGTTGTTTGTTTGTTGTTTAAAACTGCACTAAGCACTATTTCCAGCTATATGACAGCGGTCTGTAAATAAACAAGTCTGGACCAGACAATCCAGTGACTGATATCATGAGCATCGATCTACGCAAATGTGATACAATGATATGCATCAACCAAGTCAGCCAGCCTGACCACCCGACCCCGTTAGTTATTCTTAAGACAGGATAGTCTTTTATAGCAAGCATTGGTTGCTGAAGGCCTTTTCTAACCTGGATCTTCATGGGTCGAGTGTTACAAGTACATTTGAAGAAGAGCTTATCACAATGTTCCAAGACAACTATCCCTTGATGAGTGACCACTAAATATCCTTGGGGAGGCCTGGGATGTTTTTTAGAGCCAGGATATTTTATCAGTTTGCTGCTTCAATTTGAAGAAATGAATTAAATGCTTTTGACATAGATCAGTGAACATCTTTATGAAGTTTACTTTCATTGCTTTGATCACCTTTGATAACATTGAGTGAGTGAGTGAGTATGGTTTTATGCCGCTTTTAGCAATATTCCAGCAATATCACGGCGGGGGACACCAGAAATGGGCTTCACACATTGTACCCATGTCGGGAATCGAACCCGGGTCTTCGGCGAACGCTTTAACCACAAGGCTACCCGACCGCCCCACCTTTGATAACAAAATATAGGCAGCCTCAATAGTAGTTAAACATGGCCGGAGCTAAAGTATGAATCTGCAGATTGTCTGCAGCCTGTTGATACTGCTCCTGAGGTGGATGAGGAGGTGCAGCACAACCAAGACCTGTTGGAGGAACAAGTGGAGGAGCTTGAAGAGGAACATGAGGAGTAGCTTGAGGAGGAGCAGAGACAGATGTAGACAGGGTAGGTGGAGCTGAGGGATGACAAAGAGAAGAAGGAAGGGCCTGTGGAAGAGTTGGAGGTTGTATAAGGGGAGGAGCAAGTTCACAAGGCTGGGGAAGAGTCTGAGGCTTCTGCATAGTCTTCGGGTTCATCTTGTGAGTGTCTATCATATGCCTCTTTAGGTGACTGGGTCTGATGTAAGCCTTGTCACAAAGCTGGCACCTGCAGTTCCTCTCCCTGTTGTGGTATATCATGTGCCGCTGGAGGTTCTTCAGGTCAGGGTAGAAGTTGCGGCACACTTGACACTGAAATTTCTTCTCCGGACGAGACTTTTCCTTCTCATGGAACTGAAGATGACGTCTGAGCCCATGACCTTGGACAAAACCTCTGCCACAGATCTCACAGGTGAATGGCTTCTCGCCTGTGTGGAGACGCATGTGAGAAATTAGGTAATACTTACTTAGAAAATACTTCCCACACACCTCGCATGTCGCTGGTTGCTTTTTGGTGTAGACTTTGGGAGGTATGCCTTGATGGGCAAGGCGATGATTGCGGAATGTCCCATACATGTAGAAGGCTTCACCACATATCTTACACCTGTATGGCTTCTCTTGGGTGTGAATACGCATGTGACGTTTCAGGTAAGACTGATTGGCAAGAATCTTAGAACACACCTGACATCGAACTTTTCCGAGCTGGTGCAACTGGCGGTGCTGATGGTACCCAGACTTGGCAGCGAATGTCTTGTCACAGTCCATACATTTGTAGGGGCGCTCACCAGTGTGTGTCCTGGTATGAATTTCCAACTTGGACTTGCAGCCAAAGATCTTTTGGCAGTATTGACATGGAAAAAGCTTCGGTGCAACATGAGACTTCTTGTGGCGTGTCAAACCACTGAGTCGATTGAATGACTTGCCACACATCTCGCATGTAAATGTTGGCTCAGGAGGTGTGTCATGTTCTTGTCGATGCAACTTCAGCCGTTTTGCAGAACTATAGGCTTTACCACAGATCTCACAGACTTTATTTTTGGGAGCTTTTTTGTATTTTCTTTTGCTATTTTCTTTATAAAATAATTGTTTATCTGTACTAGAATTATTCTGATCTGACTTTGAGCTGTCGTCACTAAGAGGTCCATTAACATTGATGCCACTGTCTGAATTACTTCCCTTGGTATCATCAGTTTCTTTATCAATATTCCCTGTCTCCACCTTCGTATCAGAATCCCCATCCTGGGAGCCACTGTCACATTCATCACATACATATGGTCTTTGAGATCTTTTGCTAAGGATATCCTTCCCACATCCACCACATGGAACAATCTGGCATTTACCTTCTCGATGCGTAAGTAAATGACGTTTCAGAAAACGTTTTTGCTTAAAAGTCTTCTCACACAAATAGCATTTGAAAAGGATCCCTTGTGTTTTGTATTTCATATCATCATCCAGGCAGTCAGCACCTTCTTCATCCCCATCTTCTAACCTTGTTGACCCAACATGGCCTGACATGTGCCTCCTTAGCTCATCCATGGTCAACATGGAGTTCCCACACAGGTCACATTTGAGACTGGAACCTATGTCTCTGGCAGACCCTGATCTCAAGGATGAGCGAGTTCTCAAAGATGAAGGTCTCACATGGAGCTCAATATGGTTCTTCAGGCTGCTGTAATCACTAAAGACCTGGCTACATAAGTCACACTGCAATACACACTCTCCTTGTTTTACTACACCTTTCCTCATTTTTGATTTGGCCTTTTTCTGTTTATGACGTGACTCAGGCGACTTGTCAGTTTGACTTTCATCATATGTATCGAACCCGTCAGTTTTACGAACATGGCGTTTAGCTGCTGCTCGAGGAAGTCTAGCCCGTCTCCGAATGTGTGTAGATTTTGTCAGGTTCCCTGCTTGCATGTCAATCTTCATCACCATCTCTGTGTCAGACTCTCCATCTTGCTGATGAGTCTTCTGATGCCTCCGAAGGTTGCCCAACTGGTAGAATCCCTTGTCACATATGTCACACAGAAACTGCTGATCACCATGGGTTCTCAAGTGCACACTCAGGTTGGCTGAAGAAGCGAAAGTCTTTCCACAAGTTCCACACTTTACCCTTTTACCAAGATGCTGTCTGATGTGGTACCTGTAACTCTTAGGATTACTGAAGTCTTTACCACATTGCTCACACTTATGGGGACGCTCACCAGTATGAACTCGTTCATGTATGATCACAGTTTTCCTATCAGCATACTTCTTCCCACAAACTTTGCACTTGTATGGTTTTTCTCCACGATGCATTCTCATATGCCTGGCCAAGTTGCTCCCATTCTTGAAATGTTTGCCGCACAATTCGCAGTCTGACACGAAACCGCCAGGATGAGTGGCTTGGTGTACTTTACGGGCTCTCGAACTCTCAAACTCCTTATCACATATTTGACACCTGAGAACCTCCTCATCTTTAGCATCATCACCTTTTTCCTCTCCAGACTCATCTTCGTTTCCATGGCTTCCTGTCTCTTCAGAATCAGACTCAGAATCATTTTTGTTGCAATATTTCAGATCTATATCTCTGTGTCCTATGGCTTTCTCATTTCCACCTTCACTACAACTTGAGACATCTGAAGAAGCCCAGTCATCGTCTATTCCATGGTGGTCCTCCTCCTCCTCCTCCACAGCTGCTTCATTCTCTTGTTTTCCAGCCCCATCCTTCCAGTTTTCACTCACATCTTCCTGCAAAGAATTCTTTAGCATCTCCCTGCCATTTTTGTCAACCACCTCACAGTCTCTTATCCTGCTCTCTTCAATCTTCCCTTCACCCTTTTCCTCATCCATAACAGTTTGGTCAGATCTTTCTTCTCTCTGTGTCTTTGTATCACACCAATCACCACACACACGATAGTCTGGTAACATATACCCCAACAAATCCTGATCCACATTTTCTTCTAAACCATCCTGATTTCCATTTGCCTCTACATGAATCTGACCATGCTCTGCAAGATTCTTGTCACTCACTCCTGTTAATTCTGGAATCTGACTGGACAGTATTTCCCTCTTATCCTCAAATATAGATTCTCCTACTGAAGCACATACCAGCAATCCTCCAGAATCAAGTCTACCCCGAGGTCCGTCTTCACAAGCACCTGCCAACAATACTCCAGGATCAAGTCTGCCTGGACATCCACTTACAGAAGGTCCTGCCAACAGTTCTCCAGAGTCAAGTCTACCCCGAGGTCCGTCTACACAAGCACCTGCCAACAAAACTCCAGGATCAAGTCTGCCTGGACATCCACTTACAGAAGGTCCTGCCAACAGTTCTCCAGAGTCAAGTCTACCCTGAGGTCCTTCTACACAAGCACCTGCCAAAAATCCTACTGGGTCATGGCTTCTGCAGGAGTGAGGTAAAGGACAGGCTACTTCAGGAAGGAATTCTCCACATCTGTTGCACTGTTTTATACATATATGGGTTACGATGTGTTTGTACATTTCTTCTTTGTTTCCAAAAGAGGTTTTACAAAGTCCACACACAAGTATGCCCTCCATCCTTTTTTGTCCTCAGTATTTGGTTTCAGGAAGGTGTAGGAGATTCAGCATGTTCAGAAGTATACTTTCAACTGGAGTCCATTTCTTTGCATGGAATCCATGGATCCTGTGAAACAAGAACAAAGTAACAATAAGGTTGGTTGGTTGGTTGATTTGTTGTTTAACGCCGCACTCAGCAATATTCCAGCTATATGACGGCGGTCTGTAAATAATTGAGTCTGGACCAGACAATCCAGTGATTGATATCATGAGCATCGATCCACGCAATTGGGATCGATGACATGCATCAAACAAGTCAGCGAGCCTAACCACCCGATCCCGTAAGTCGCCTTTTACGACAAGCATAGTCGCCTTTTACGGCAAGCATGGGTTGCTGAAGACCTATTCTACCCTAGATCTTCACGGGTCAGTAACAATAAGAATTAATGGTAATGATTTGCTCTTTTTATTTAAAGAACCATGCCTCCTCTCATATAATGTGCCAATAATAGGCCACTGTGCTGACAAAAATACTGGTACCTTATAATCACAGTGGTTTGATTTGTTTGTTGTTTAACGCCTCACTCAGCAATATTCCAGCTATATGACGGAGGTCTGCATATAATCGTGTCCGGACCAGACAGTCCAGTGACTGACATTGTGAGCATCAATCCATGCAATTGGGAAACGATGACATGAATCAACCAAGTCAGCAAGCCTTACCACCTGATTTCGTTAGTCGCCTCTTACGACAAGCATAGTCGCCATTTACGGCAAGCATGGGTTGCTGAAGACCTATTTTACCTCGGGTCTTCACAGGTCTATAATCACAGTGACTGAAATTAAGTATATTGAGTAAAAACAGTTATGGAGGATACCCTGATGTTTGTTGCATAAAGCCAGTTATTTACAATGTATCTAGGATTCCAAACAAAGTACCCTTGGCCGCTTAATCAGTTAAAAAAACTTGATTTTGTTCAGAATTGGGATTTTATCAGCTTTTAGTTTCTAAATTTCAACTGCTGGTTTCAGTGTCCTTTTTAAATAGAGGCAAATTAAAGAGAAAGCTTGTGTGTTTTTCTTACGGCTGAATTACTAAATGCTACTTGCTAGCTTGATAAGATTAGAAGCCAGTGTTTATCAATGCCTAGGTTACAATTTATACACCTCGGTCGTGTAAAGCCAACTGCACTCCAATCCAGAGTTCCTTGCGGCCAGCCGAGTGCATCTGTCACATTGTCATATCTTACGCAGTCCATTCAATTTTTTTTCATCTGGGGGACGGTCAGGTAGCCTGGTGGTCAAAGCGTTGGCTCGTCACGCCGAAGACCCAGGTTCGATTCCCAACATGGGTACAACGTGGGAAGCCCATTTCTGGTGTCCCTAGCCGTGATATTGCTAGAAAATTGCTAAAAGCGGCGTAAAACCATACTCACTCCCTGTTTCATTTTGGACAAGTCTACAAACTTAGATAAACATGCATCATAAAATGTTTAACTTTCATTGAGAAAATATCCCCAAAACGTGAAAAGCTATTTCCATTTGCATATTTATCCCCCATGTCTTGTCATCAAAGCCCTATGGTGAGCTAGCTATATGGTTTCTTTGATGTTTAAATCTGTATCGTCATGCACCTTACTGTCGCAGTTGTGGTAGTACTATCATGATATAACATTTATACTAAGTTTTCCTATAATAATTAGATCCACATCAAGTGCTTTTATGAGTTATCATGGTGTAATATTTATACATCATTTCATATAATTGTAGTTTAGCAAGTAATACTTATCATCAGGTAAAATGCATATATAAAGTATCAGTAGTTTCAGTTATAGCTTTTTAGATAGATGCTAGCCTAAGGCAACGAGAACACATCTCCCAGACATACTATTCAATAAGACAAAAGTTATGTCTACATAGTTTAATAGATTTAAAGCTTTTAGATAAATACTTGCCTAAGGTATCAAGATCCCATCTCCCAGACATAATATCCAATAAGACAAAAGATATGTCTACATAGTCTTATAGATTGCCTTGAACTATTTTATTTCAGCAAATCTGTCATCACCTATATTAGAATAACATTCAGCAATAACTTCGATTTAGACTCATTAAGGATTAGCCCCCATACAAGCTTGTCTATAGTGACACCATAATCTCTTTCAAAGCACCCAGTAAATATGTCAACAAGATTAGTGCCAGTCCAACATGATTAACAGGATTAAGTATTCCCCTCTGTCCAGCCATTCATTAACCATAAGGCACAGCCCATCGTGTATCAACCAATCATATTCCTTTTTATTGTTCTAAGTATTGTTAAATCGATACAGAGGCAAAATATTAAGCAGAAGGGGTTTGATGCTCATACCAAGCAGATCTCTCTCCCACAGCCCAGAGGGTTGTACCGACTCTCTGTGGCATCAACAGCTATGTTTTAAGATATTGTAAATTGTTCATTGTTAATTGTTCTTGTAAATAAAATTGTGATTAGTCTCCTGTGACTCTGGAGTACCAAAAGGCTTGCCTGTTCTTATCGGCTATTGTTCACAACGAAAGCTTCAAAATGGTTGACATCCTGTCTGCTTAAAGCACATAAATCAAGATTGTCTGTGCTATCTGGTCCTTGGAGAGTTGGGGGTCATAACAAATAATTAGTGCTCCTTTACCTCGTTATCGCTTACTGATCTTGTGTGCATCTGGAGGGCTATTTGTGTTGGGGATAGGGTAGGTTACGCAGACTTAATCTTTAGCCCTAATCAAAACACCCCTTTACAAACTTAGGGTCGTTCACCTCCTGCCTATCAACACCCCTTCACAAACCTTAGGGTCGTTCTCCCTCTGCCTATCAACACTCCTTTACGATCCTTAGGGCCGTTCACCCTCTGCCAATCAACACCCCTTTACAATCCTTAGGGCCGTTCACCCTCTGCCAATCAACACACCTTTACAATCCTTAGGGTCGTTCGCCCTCTGCCAATCAACACACCTTTACAATCCTTAGGGTCGTTCACCCTCTGCCAATCAACACACCTTTACAATCCTTAGGGTCGTTCCCCCTCTGCCAATCAACACCCTTTTACAATCCTTAGGGTCGTTCCCCATCTGTCAATCAACACCCCTTTACAAACTTAGGGTAAGGTTGCCAATCCGTTTTATGATCCATAAATTGTGAGTTAACATTTGGGTTTGTTATCTCACCTCATTGAACAAATTAATCCAATGTAATTTAGGGTAAATCAGTTCATTTTTTTGGGGAAACAATGGCTACCTCATGTGTGTATTAAGGTAACCAATTGGGTGCTGGTGAGTAGATAAACAAGCACTAATTATAGGTGATAGTGCCGGAGGTCTTGTGGTGAACTGAACTTGATTACTCAGGCCATAGTTTGTGGCATTAGAGGTACAATATGTACAATGTAATTATAAAATATGTTATGTCCAGTTTATATAGGTGTACAGATCTGCGCTTGATGGTAATAAATATATACACATGAAATACATACAGAATATAGAATAATACAGTGTTCTAACATACAATTAATTTTTTGCCTGTAGATATCTTTCAATCAAGAATTGACAAGCATTTTAATCAGATAAATACTTTGAAAGTTCAGTGATGCATACATATATAAATTACTCCTGGTTGGTAAAAAATGCCTTTTATGCAAGTTAACCATTATGTGATTACATTTTCCCAAAATACTATCATCATAAATAAACTTATACACTAAAGAGATACTTTTGCTGCTCTTCCAGTCATAAGTTTACCCCCAAAACAAATAATTCTACTTTTACCTATGTTGGCAAGTGGGAATCTCCCAAGCTCTCCATAAATCATAAAATTAGGTGTACTTTCCTAAGTTAACATAGTCCTCCATATCCAAGGAATCGTAAATCCGTGTTAGTGGTATTCGGACGTTTAAGAAACATTCATAGTTTTCTCTCTAATCACATCAACACCTGTAAAACATCTCATTCACGTATAAAAGACAACTTTCTCTTTAAAACAAGCCATCATCTAAGAATTTACATCTGTGAGATGCTACACCCCCCATTCTAGCATGAGTAATCGCGATAAAAATGGCCGTTCGAAAACGTATGAAGTCCGAAAACCAACTACATATTTTCAACACAAGACAAGTAAAGTGTTGACTATATGAATTATCCATTCGCCTAGCTTCAAGCTAGCAACACTAGTTCAACCCTACACACAGTGTTAATTGAAATCCGAAAAAATGCAACCGGTAAAGTTCAATTCACTCTATCAGAAGTCTGTCCAACTATTGGGTAACCTACCTTAACACAACTAAGCTACCTAACCTTAACACAACTAAGCTACCTAACCTTAACACAACTAAGCTACCTAACCTTAACACAACTAACCTACCTAACCTTAACACAACTGACCTACCTAACCTTAACACAACTGACCTACCTAACCTTAACACAACTGACCTACCTAACCTTAACACAACTGACCTACCTAACCTTAACACAACTAACCTACCTAACCTTAACACAACTAACCCATTCTTATGATGGTCCTCCACGCAAATAAGCGTGACGTAGCTGCTCATATATCCAATATACAGTAGTTGGTCAGTGGTCACTAACATGAAATAGGCCTGAGCCTATTGAACTGTCCGAAATGCTAGAAAGATGCTTTTTGCCTGTTAAAAAAGGACATAATTTTTCACAGACTGTTGTTATTGAAATATCGAGTAACTACCGATCGACCTACCTGTGGTTTGAAGTATTTCAGTCACGAGGAGTCCTATCGACAAGTTTACAGGAGACAAATTCGAACGAAAACAGGAAGTTAACATTCATTTTAAGTCCAATGATGGCAGTCTGAAACGGACTTATGCGTATGCATATAGAAATATGCGCATGTGACTCCGTTATGTTGATAATAATGTAGTCTTCATAAAAAATCTAATCCAAACACAAAAATCATTTTGAGAAAATTCTCGATGTGCATCTTCTAAAATGACAAATGATGCTGCGTTTGCTTTGTTAACATTGCTCCCATGATGCATGTTACATAACACTTGCATAGCCATAACCATGGTACACGATATGGAGTCTGTACTGGGAAATGTTTATAAGTTCTTTACAGTTTTGAGAGATAGAGGGAAAACATTTATTTATTTAGATAGGGTGAATTACCTTACTGCCCAAATTATTGGGTTTTCAATTCATACCATCAAGTCTACGGTATGATAAATAAAACAAAACAGGCATAGGGGTGGTCTCAAAAACAAAACTGGGACGTAAAAGGATATTAGACAGCTTTGATACAGGATGATTAGGCGTATAGAGTACAAGTTTAATGAGCAGAAAGTATCCCTGACTTGTAGTAGAATTTGGGAGGAATTAAAGATACAATTAATGTTAACTGCACTAACTATTGCTCTCCAAGAGATGGGATTTCGATACACTGCACGTGACAATGACCGAGCACTTTTTAGGGGAAAATATTCCATCCTGTCTGTGAGGTCACATTATCTCCGAACCATTCATAACTATCACAGTCAGGGCGTCCAGATAATTTACCTTGATGAATCATTCCACTGACTACATGTGGCTATTGGCAGTATACAAAAAGCGCCCATGGTACCATCAGGTAAAGGTCATCGTGTCATTGTTTTGCACGCTGCAACCCATGATATTGGGCTTATTGTTTGATGTGTGCAAGATTTTGAGGCAAAAAAGAAAACTGGTGATTTTCATAAGGAAATTATAGGAGGTGATGTGTTCATAGACTAGTTGCAACTTCAGCTATTGTCCATTTTAAACAATGTCAGTGTCATTGTCATTGATAATGCCAATTAATATAACGCCCGGGAATCGGATACTGTCGCCCAGATTCATATTCGTCATCAGCGGAGATAAATGCTACCTCAGGAAATCATCTGTAGAACATCAAATCCTTCTGGATTCCAAAACCTCAACCTTCCAATACTCAAACCATTTCATAGCTCTTAACTATTCCATCATGTTTCCAAGCAAATATAATGCAGTACATATCCTTAATTGCTACCCCATCAACGCACATGTCAATTAAGTACAATAATCGCAATATTTTGAGACCTCCCCCAACTCGGTGACATTTGCACCTGTGAGAATGCACGGGACGGTGTGAGGTCATCACCTCGGGACAGGTGTTAAGTAATTACCTCAGGTTATAGGCCATTTCATACATGAATGACAACACGAATATTTTCTAAGTTGGATCTTCATTTTACCTGTAAAAGTACATTTTAAGGGTAATCACAGTGTCAGTTAGAACAGGCTAGTTTAGGGCAATTTGCGTTATTTTGATATATGTTCTTTTTAATAGTCCTATGACTCGTATTTATTAAATGAAGCCAGAAAAGCAGTTTTCTAGCATTTCCGACAGTACTTTAGCAGCCGATCATCTACCGACGACAGATGTCAAATATCACACTCGGCTGTCGAACACTATAACCTTCTTGACAGTGAGATATCTTCAACCTATTCACTGTAAAATGTTGATTACACTGATCATTTGGAATTTCAACTCACAATAAACTCGCATTTGTAAACAAACCTCAGGAATTTTGACATTTTTCATCGTTTTCACACAAGCGGAAGGTTGCAAGTTACGATCTCAAGCGAATGGAGAACCACTAATGGGAGGTAACTCTCCCCATCTCATTTAGTCAGCACTCGCGGAACAATCTTAACGCTGATCTAAAGCACTTCCCCGGGACTGGTTGTTGCCTTTGTTTACACTATTTAGCCTTGCAACACAAAGTAAATATTTCACCTGAGCATAGCTTATTTTATCGTGCTTATGTCGCGTCAAAATGTGCAAAATTTTCACTTAGGAAATTTATTAAACGCCTAAATAGTTATTTTACAAATTGATTGAAAAATATGTCCACCTGTCTCTTATGATAACAAATTCCAAACATTTTTATGTTTAATATCATCACCAAGTGGCTGAAAATGTTAGGATTAAAAGTACATTTCGATATTGTTTGGCTTCTAATCCTAGCATAATTAATCTATTGTGATGTGTTGACGCCCTTTTGATCGTCGTAATCAGTTTTAGTCATTCTGTTAAATAAAAGGACAGATTTGTCAGTCAATTTGTAAAATGACTGACATATTCAGACATTTTATAAATTGCCTGAGTGAATCACATTTTACAAATTGACTGTAATATATACACGCTTAAAAAGGAAAATACTTGTGAAAACGTCTATCGCGCATGGAAGAACTTCCCAACCAAGACGTAGAGGAACAAGAATTAATCTGTTCAATGCTACAGCAAATGAATGAAAACAAAATGTAAATATCATAATTACAACCTACCAAATTTATATGTATAATTTTAGGCAACTTTCTTGTTCGAGGAATGTATCCGTGAATATCCACATAAAGGAATAATATCCCACACGTCTGAAGTTGTACAAAGAAACTTTTTCAATATCACGTGTCTCTGTAACAATCAAATATTTTAAAATATATATATCGTGTCGGGATATTATAACCCGTATTCATTTATCAAATGATCACTTAGTTTGTTTCAGGTGTTTCACATAGGTGTCAAGTCTCAAAGATCAACTGAGAAAGTCCACGTGACAACTATTTAATAATGTCCACGGTTCTTAAAAAAAATCCACTGAGTTAAATAACAATGAGCAATCAATCAACTTATCATCGTTAACCCTTTGAACAAAGTATGTTGTTTTTACATCGGCACTTCACGCCATGATATGAGTGTATTCCCTTTGCTTTAGTAAACCTACACACGTAAACACTTACTTTTGACATATCCACTGTGAAAGATAACAGTGATGAATCAATCAACAAATTTTCTGTTGATCCTTTGATGGCTCAGTTGTTTTTCAAAAAAGTAAATCAACTGATCATTCATCTCTTGCTGGGCTGCGACGTACATATTACATAACACACATTTCACCTCACTTCAACCTGGATTTAGAGTGAATAATTACCCCAGACACAATAAATGCCAAATGGGAACCTTTATCGGGTAATCCGAGTGGTGCTGCCACTAATTATACCTGTAATAAATACATTAACTGAGCATCAAGTGAATGACGACAAATACTCAAGTGTAGGGTTATACCAGAAAACGTGGATGACAATGTCGGATTAACGAGTGTGTCTGATAAACGAAATTAGGTAGTATAAACGTTCGTGATCGAAATTGGACAAATACACGATAGATAACGATACGAACACGTAGGAAAATGAAAATGAAATATTCATGTACACCACAATGAAATATTCATGACGATCTTGCAAGTAAAGGTATACGAGTATTTCCTTCTATACATTCAACATAAAACGTAATGATATTTTTTCAGCGTCATCCCTAGTCATTGTATAGAAGCTTCAGAAGAGTAGATAATAAATTTATTGTGGCCTTACTGACGCGTAAAGTCAAATCCATGAGGATCTATAGCCGAGATTTTACGTGCGCATACAAAATAAGGCCAAAGAGAAACCAGAGGTTATTCATTTTACAAATGATTAATTTTGTTTTTTCAGCCTTGTTGTCTACTGTTGATAAACTCGTCAGTAAATGTGTTTGTGTCAAGTAACCTTCTGTGTCACTAATTGCGATAAAACTAAAACATCACCAGGCAGATTTTAAGATATCAATAATTTCATTTATATTGATATCTAAACATCACATTTATGATATATATTACAGTAAAGTACGGTTATAACGAACTCCAGGGACTACTAATTTTAGTTCGTTATAAGCATATATACAGCATAACTACAGCAAATAGTCGGGACCAAAAAAGTAAGTTCGTTATATGCGTCAGTTCGTTATAAGCGTGTTCGTTATAACCGTAGTTTACTGTATATATAAATCTGTGCCACATATATATGTGGGTCTACGTCTCAAAAATAAGGAAATAAAATTTTCTATCCAACATTGAATTTTCTGCTACCCCCAACCCATAAAAAAACCGTATGCGTGTTTAATGCGCGTGTGTTTGTTTGAAAAGTTTATACTATTTATAAGGATGACATAATAAACAATTTTTGACCAAATGAATCTCATTTGCAAATGGTACCAGGCAAAGGACTCTACCTAAAGTATTCATAATCCGATCAAAGTTAGCTAAATCGTTGTATTTTGGCTGGATCAGTATACTGACAGCATGGTACAAGTTAGCAGTGATTGTTCGTTACATTTGAACACAATGTTGGTGTAGTATGCGACCAATATACACTCAGGAAGAAACGCACAGGTAGATTTTAAGTAAATTTATTGCACCCAATAAAGTCGATATATTTAATTTAATATCAGAGATATAAATATAAAATTTTGGAGCTCGATAGTCACATGTTGTCGTTTTACAAAGGCATTGAAAACTGTTCATTGTCATGTCACATAAGGCCACAAGGTTGCACTGAACTCAGTATCTCGTGTGACCGCAGCAATCACGGCTCTGCATCTCCTCGGCACTGACTGGATAAGTGTACGAATTTGATTCATGTAGCCCCCCACCACCACACACACCATGACACTACCGCCACCGAAATTGTCGAATTCACGTACACAATGTGGGGCAAAACGCTCATTTCGACGACGATAAACACTAAACACGTTGTCTTCCATCTCGCCGGTGAAGAAGATATCGTGATTCATGGCTTAACCACACTCGTCTCCAGTTTCTCAAATTCCATGGCTGTAAGGTATGGTACCATCGCAAGCGTCGCCGTCGACGGATCTGTTGCAAAACAGGGACCATTACTAGTCTTCTGGGTCGGTTTCCAGCCTCGCGAAGATGGTTCCTGACAGTCTGGTCCGATATCCTCCTCAAACCAGGGATGCGTCCTGCAGTCCTGCAGACGTAGGTGGAACAGTCGAATGTAGCGATCCTGTGCAGGGGTGGTAACTCTTGGTCGACCGGTTCTCGGACGGTCTGCTGTGGAATTGAACTGTGAAGTGGCGTTCAACAGAAGACTGCGATTCCCCTCTTTGGATACGATCGGCAGTGCTGAGTCTCAACATTTTCGAACTTGAAATATGTTGACAATTGAATGACACATTATTGGCTCATGCTTGCCTTTATATAGCCACTACCACGAGTTACGAATGCCATAACTTGCACGTGCATTTTGCTGTACTGTTTTCCTCTATTTGAACAAGTGTGAAAACAATGCCGTTTAAGACATAGGAAATCGACAATGGCTGCGTTTTGACGCACCGTTTGTCGAATATCAGGCCACCAACATTTTCCAATAACATATATCCAATTTATATACCGGATTTTTTTGTGTAGTCAGGTTCAATGAGCTACATACTACCTGTGCGTCTTTTGTAGAGTGTATTTATATCGAAAAGAAATAATAACAGAGACGGTAAAACAGATATGATCATAAAATATTCTGATCACATGTGAATAAGAAACTGGACAGGCGGGCATTGCAGATACATGTATGTGTCTTCGAAGTTCAACCCCGAGCTTTCGCATGTTTGTTTAGGTGAGGTGAGGTCAAATAAGGGTTCAACGTCGAGTCCATGATTATTGCACTTATATAGCGACGTGCATGCACGTGTGTGTGTGCGTGTCTGCTTGTACTAGTCCGGACGGATGCCGATTTATAGTGCTAGCTCACTGAGATACAATGCCGCACTTTAACATGAATACCCCACTCAGACACAGTACACTGACTCCGAGCCGACCAGTGCTAAGATTTTAGCCCCTTAATGCCGAGCGCCAGACAGACTAATAACAAGTACTATCTTTGAAAGTGATTTGGTATGACGCGGCCGGGGACACAACACAGTCGCAGTTTGTACTCCAAGCTAGCAACACCTCTCCAGCTTAGCAAACCCAAGCCATCCAGCCACCAAGCCAACCTCACCCAGCAAAGCCTCCCAAGCCAGCACAGTTCCACTGATAGCCAGCCCAAGAGCAACACATCGGTAATTATCACAACACACCCATACAATCTAGGTTAAAACCACTCACACACAAGCCCACTTAAAACACCAAACCCTCAAACCCTCTAGTTACTACCAAAACACACCCTTTCAAACTTAGGCCAAAGGTAACTCACCCCAAGCCCACTTAAAACACCAACTCTCCAAAATCTCCTAGCTAAACAAACTAACTCACCAGCCAAAACCCAAATAGCGTAGAAGCCAGCCAAACACTACTCACCCAGTCACCCACTCTACACACAAAGCCCCCTCTTAAGCCCAGCTCACTCTCCTCCCCCAAACCAAAACCTACAAACCTACAACAGCTACACTACCACAGACATGACCGACACACGCATTATCACCCAGGCAGACATCCACCGCACAGACACACCCACACCATCGGAGGCCCACAACACCTCCGATCGGACACCTGAAACCCTCATCCCGCACGAATTCGGAAAGCAAACCACAGTCGCTTCTCCCACCAAAACTCCGGATTCGCCTGCAACCACAACAAACCCAAAGAAACGGAAGCTAAATGCTTCAAACACAACACCTGCATCACCTTCCACCCCCGCATCTATAGTCACCTTCGCCCTCTACTTCTGCGCGGCTGGCCCCATAAACATCCTAAGTAAGGTACTCTCCGCCAATAAAGTAGGATCATTCTTTAAAA